AACATATGCGGATAAAGACGAAAAAGAAAACAAAAACAAGTAACGGACAAGAACAAAAACACGGTCATTGGAAAACCAGAGCGTACACATTCAATGTCGAGTTCGATGTTTTTCACTCATTGACGTACATCTGGAATTTATAATCCAAGCATCCGGAAATAGACGATGCCATTTAACGCACACATGCACATATGTAAACGAAAACACAGCGAATTATTTTCAAACAAAGCAAAGAACGTATTACAGTTTGAGTGTATTATTACAGTATTAGAGAAAGCTGATCGTCAGAGATGTGCGCAGTACACAGTGGTGCATAAGTGGAATGCGAAAAATAATCAACAGAAAATGATTTATATCATCACATAATCGATATTATGAGATTTTTGATATGACAAAAAAAGCCACTGAATTTAATCAATGCATTGCGTATTGTATCTTAATTAATTGAGATTGGCTTCGTGGGTGTGATTGTATGTGCGCCATCATGTGTACAGCAATTCCATCTGCTAATGTCTAATTTTAAAGTATGTGTAAAGCCACTTTCATTACTTAATATATTAATGTGCGACGAAATTTACTTTGAACATTTCAAAAACAAAATCGAACTGTGTCGGCAGGTCGTTTAGAATGGCACATTACTCTTCGATGTTAAAACAATGCAAGTGCTTTTTTTATCCTGCTTTTTTTTCCAACCATGTATTTTATAAATAGAATTCAAGTAAAAAGTTTATGAACAAAAATAAATCAATTCTCATTCGAGAACTCTTCAAAAGAGATGCTACACATACACAAAACACACATTAAAAATGAATTATGTTTACGTATGTATTTTGCTCTCAACATCGACCGAGAATAGTACTCTGATCACTGAAAGTGGGAGAGCGAGCGTAATAGAAATGTGAATATAACATTAAATGTACATATCAAATAGCGTCACTTATTCACATTAAATTTTCATTTTGAACAATGGGCTTTAGACTTTTCTCATTAAATTGTTTCACAATCAAAATTTATTGTGTTCAATGCTCATGTTTATGAGATTGAGAATGGGAAAGTGAAACGAGCGAGAGAATATGAAGAGAACAAAAATGAAACTAAAACGGAAAAACAAACAGGCAAAACACTAAACGATCGACTTTTGAACTAGAAATTTCGAAACATTGAACATTTTTAACTTGCTAATAGATTCTAATTATTAAATAGATTTTCTTGTTGTTGAATTCATTCAAGCAAGTTGTTTTAAACAGTTGTTGTTATTTTTAATTTCATATAAACTATATTTCATTGGCGTTGATTAGCACACTGTAAACGATCTCATATTTCATCGAAGCGGTGTAATTAAAATCTGGTCTTCGATTATAAAAATAAAGCTATTAGCAAAGAGAATGGGCATTTTCGAACTTGAATTGAAGAAATTTGATCTTGATTCAAAAAAAAAAAATGAAATATTACCATATTTAAAAACTTCACTTTTAACGTATTTTAACAGTGAATAGATTGGGCTACAGCTATAGCAGTGCTATTTTCACAGCTCCTTCATAGGTGCCATTTGTGAACAACGTATACGGACAGCGACTTTATGATACAATTCCGAACGAAATGTTCAAAATTTAAATAGAACAATTGATTTTAATGTAAAATGAATAGGAGCTGTGAAAATTGCACTGCTATAGCTGTAGCCCAATCTATTCACTGTATTTTAATGTTTATAAGGAACAACATTCATTTAGACACATACAAATCAGAACATAAAGAGTTGATTGGCATGGTGTGTGGCATGGTCGTCATCCCATTCCTCATACTCTAAAACGTGTGAGAAAAAACTAGTAGAGAGTTCTTATAATACGTTGCATGAATCACATTCATAACATACGTGACTGGTTTTGGTATTCGAGTTCGGAATTCTCTATATACAAACGATATAAAGATATTTCACATATTTAGTATTTGAATCAACCTTATCTCTCTGTCATTCGCATAGATTTTGCTATGAACAAAATCAATTGAATTGATCAACACTGAAATTCAGTGCAACAACAACACCAAAAATCTTTTTTGCATAAATCTTTTACGTGACATTTTTCACATTACAAGAGATTGTGACTATGTGAAACACATGTTTTTGTATGACTGTATGTACACATAATTGATTTTTACAATTTCAACGAACCAAATTGTATTTAGATATACACATCTGCAGTGCAACAGTTAGCTATAGCTGAAGTGCTTTTTTCTGTCGTTCGAATATCGTTTCACTTCATTTTATGAATAAAATTGGCTTGCAGCACGCACTACAAAATCAATAACGATTGAGTGCCCGTCATGTACTTTCCATAAACGAATGGATGGCAACACTAAGACTGTAGGAATAAAATCCGTATGCATTAGTCTCATCTTTTATCCTTCTTTTTTTTGTGGGCTAATTGAACTGTGCACAGTTGGCACTTGCGATAATTACGTGCGGTCTGGGAAAATGCGAACCACAGCAGCATGATATGACATATGGCCTCGTTTAACAGTGTATACACACTTTCATCAGCTAAATGCTTTTCAACCAAAATCTGATGGCTTATAGCTCATGAGAAGACATTGAGAAGCTTTTGTTCGATTGGGTTCAGACTTTGACTTTGACTTTGAGACCACAAAAATATGTTCAACATAAAACGAACTTAAAACAAGGCGGACATTTTGTCGAAGAATAAAAAATCAATTGCGGATGGTGGGGGAGGGGGGAGATGTCCCGCCGTCCAAAATTTCCAATTCAACGCTAGATAAAAATGAAAAAAACCGTGGTATTTTTGGCTCTTCTTTTTTGAAATCCCCCCTCTGAGAATCAGAGTTCGCCCATTACTTACAAAGATCCAAGTAAGCTATCTAATTTTGTCAGATTTTTTTCTTTCAAGCATATTGTTCGATTAATAAGAGTCGAATAAATCACCAAACCGATGGAAAAAAAGACGCGCGCACACCTAACTCGTTTACAAAATATGACCATCATTTGTATTTTCTATCGTCAATATTTGAATGATGATGTAATCTGAATAGAGAAGTGTTGCGTTTTATTTATTGTTGCCTGTCAAATGCGGAGATCGAATGAGATTTAATCACGACTAGAAAGATGAGAACCATTTTTTTTCATATATGATTTGGGGAAAATTTCAAAATGCTGGAACACATCAGAAACCATTTTGAATTTATAACACAGGTGGTACTAAAGAAAACTCTTTAATCAAATTCCCGAGAAATGTTCACTTTGCAAAAAATATCGAATGAATAAATTCATAAATATATGTATAATATCTCAAGAGATTGTATAGTACATTCTATTGATTACAGCGTGAAAATATAATGAAAAACCACATCATACATGTGAATTTATCGCACACATGCATACGTAGATTGAATTGATTATGTGACGTATCGATTATGTGTGTTTAGTGTATCAGTGCATTTTAAATTGTTTGCGTCTGTTATCGATTCATTTGATTATGCAAATGAACTTGTCCACATCACCTCTATACATTGCCTCACAGCTACGTGAGGCTCGAAATCAAATAACATTGTTGATTAGTATTATAAGTATTCTTCTTATCTCTCTTCTCCCCCTATTTTTCTCACAGTTTGACGAATAAAAAGTCCAATTGATTTTAATTTGGCGTCATTGCGTCGTAAAAGCGTTTTTGGATACTGCATTGTGTATAAAGCAAATCGATCACAATAAGTCACGTAAAAATGCGCTAACAACAATGCAAATCAACGAAAAATATCGTAAATCTGCGATGAAAAAACAAAGCAACACTCAAAGCTTTTCGCATTGAAAATAGACGAACTGAGTGACAAAAACATGTCATTTTCATTTGACGCGTATATTTTCCGACAGTAATGTTTGACATGTTTACACATTTATTGCTAAACGACACCAACATCATGTGTTGTCTGAATGTTCAATGCCAAACAACAAATTTGACCAGTTAAACTTAGAGCGTTCGTGGCAAATTAGAAATGAGACAGGAAAGGGTATGGCAATACAACATAAACTTAAATATTATCAAGATTGTAATGTCACTGACTAAGAAATTCGAACCCACGCACACACATACACAAATACATACATAAATTGCATGCTTTTAATAAAAAATAAAATAATTGGACCTACACAAATCAAGCGATACAAAGGAGTGAAGTTGAACAAACAAAGACCAAAACGAAAGTTCTTTCAATGATGAAGCGATTGGTGTTGTGGTTTCTATCATGAAAGTCTCCCGTAGGGTAAAGTTAATTTTGAAAGGTAAATTAGACATGTAACCAAAGTGTTTGTAATACGTTCGCCAATTTATGGAAATCTATTTACTACAACTCATTTGTATTCCTTATAGTGCCATATAAAAGCCATGCTTAGTTTACAACTTAACCACTAAATCGTATGGTAACGTGGTCGAGTGGCATGGTATTGAACTTTGTGAAATTATTATGTGGTTCGTCTTCATATATTATGCGATCCTATCATGAAGAATTTATAGATTAAAATCATTTGAAACTATTTAATTAATTGGGTTTTGGTGTGGAAATAGTAATTGCTTTATTACGCACGCACAAACTATTCAAATACTTTGCAAACACTTATCTCATTTCAAATTGATTGATTTTTTTTCAATGAAAATTCTAAAAATACCCATTTGAAAAAATATGTCTATAAAAAAATGTGCTACACTTTTTCATTTAGAGAAAAACAATGTGGCATGTTCCGAATACAAACTCACTTCATTGCGTACAAGAATGATGAGCAAATAATAAATATAGAACGTCATGAAAAATAATTTGTGAGCAATTATGAGACTTCTTTGCATAATTATGTTTTCTTTTCCACTTTTTACCATGAATCAAGGTTAAATTAAATATAATTTAACTGTAAAATACGGTCATTTCAAGCATATTTAATTCTATTTTAAACAGATAAATGCGTAAGATACTAATTGACTGATATTTTATTTATATTTCAGATAAATCACGAACGTTATTAGCTCATCACTGGTGCTTCAATGCCAGGCAATCGCAGAGGACTGCTAGCCCCACAAAATACGTTTTTGGATACAATCGCAACACGATTTGATGGGACCCGTAAGTAGCACTCAAATGAATGAATCAAAAGTCATTTTTTCCAATTGAGCAAATATTGAAAATGTGATGAATGTTTTGACGTTTGGCCGTTGTGTTCGTCATTTTGTTCAGTGAATTTTCGTTTTCATTTCCTATTTCATAAAATTTTAACACGATTGAAACTTATCGCAATGAAGGAAATGATTCAATTTCGACTGCTGTAATCGATTGTGTAAAAGTTACAAAGGGCGTAAAGTAGGAGATAAATAGAGTGGGAACGAGATTGAGAGTGAGAGAGAGAGAGAGAGAATGAGATGAAAAACCGAGAGGATTTGTTGTTTGACATTGCAATTTGTGTTTTATTTCTGTGCGTACCGCGAAATGAAGGAAGGAAGGATTTGTTGAAAAAAATGCTTAATATTAAGCGCTGTCTGTACAATCTGCAGAGGTTGGATTTTGTTTGATATTCGGTCATATTATGAAATCTCAAAATAACATTTTAACGATCTACAGGATTTCGTCAATGCCATACACTGCATGAGATCTTTCGTAATTATTTGTTTGTTGAATTTCGCCAATGAATTTTCCGCCGTCAAAACTCTAAAATTAAAGAACGGAAGTCGAATAACATTTAAGTTTTGCCGTCGATGAAATCCAAATTGAATTAGTGAAGCGACACACACACAATAGACGCAAAAGAAGACAATAAATCGTTTTCGGTACAGCAAGAAAGGGGACAGAGATGCCTTCTTATATTGCGTGCATTCCAATGTACATTCAACGGATCAAACATTTCACACCACCTCAAATTCACTTAAGCACATATTCTTTTACAGGAAAAAAAGCTTAACCACACAGTTTTCTTGCCGCTTTATGTATTGTTGCTGTATATTGTAATATAATACACTGAAGCGAATCGCATTAGAATGTTATTATTTTCACAAGCCAACACATTGAATCTTTTGCACTAGATTACCAAATGGTCGTCATCATTGCTGTGAGATATTTTCATGTTTCGAGTTTTTCATGCCTTGTAAGGTGCCCACTAATTAGGATGTATCGCAATCATTTTCGCCCCTGTTTGTAATAACACGCAATTGCGTTGTGTACGCATTATATAGAATGAGAAGTGTTCAGACGAGAGTATTAGAGACAGCGAGAAAAAAATGTGGTTCATCGTTTTGACATGCGATTTTTCGTATATTTTCATTGTTTGTTGTTATCAATTGATTTAGTGCCTTGATTAAAGTCTCAAATCATGTAATGTTGTATGTTAAATGAAGCTTAACAATGAATAAAAAACGAAAAAAAATAATCACGCTGAATTTACGCCAATGTGAATGCGCGGTAGATAATCACGGCATTTTTTTTCTTCATTAAGTAGGTAAATGAGACTCTTTTTTTTACCATAATGATTCTTTATGATAATCCGGAATTTTTGCATTTTTTTTTTGGATAGCTCCCACGTTTCGTTTTTCTTTTCAGTTATTTTTTGCTTTTGTTCTCGATTGATTTCATTCTTTTTCGAGACACATGGACAATTTTCGTAATTTTGAGCAAATTATAAATGTGCCCATGTACATTTCATATAAATAAATTGCGCACTTCATCGAATTAAATCGCCCCTGTATTGGCGTCATTTTAACCAAAAAAAGTCCAATTATCATTCATTTATATTTTGTGGAAACTTAATTACGAATTAAAAACAATTGCTGGGACATGACGCGCTGATACAAAGAAGAAAATGAGGATCATATTTAAAAGAAAAAAACATCATCATGACGGAAACGATAGCCCACTCAATTTTCTTGTTCAACAGAAAATGATTTATAATGAAATGAATGATAGCAAGGATCATGATGTAAAGAGCCATCCATGGGAATTTCGAAAAGTAAAAGCAGCTCTTCGCGTATGGTGTGTTGCATTGTTTTTCGTTCATTTCTTGGTTCTCGGTCATCAGTTGCGGTTTCATATTTCCTTCTTCAATTTAAACGGAATGAAAATGAATGCAAAACGCCCAACATATATAGAGCACATGATATTCTTTAATTACAAATGAAATATTCATTTTTCCATCGTTTTGGGAACAAAACTTGAAATTTTCTCACTGCCTCTCTTATTCATTTGTTCAAAACATTCAGAAATCAGCAGATGGTCATATATTCATTCATATTCTTGTGATATGCCTTTTTGCTAAATTCATTGAATGAAATGGTTTTAATTAGTTTTTGTTTCGAAGTTTTAGCAAAGTCGTCCATTCACTCGGTTTTCGCTCATTTTTCGATGCTATATTTCCACAAGATCCCAACCACAATAGAAATGAAACTTGAAAAAAAAACTTCGGCTTTATTTTGGCATCTGCTACACATACACACACATAATGCCTAATAATCCATTTCATTTACTCGAACAATACACATTCATATGCTAACTGAAAATTGAGAAACTGTGACCGAAAATATGACCGGAATAGAAAAGATGGCAATGCTTTGAAATGGTGTATGGGTTAAATCATTGTTTGCAAAATTCCGCCGATTTACCAGTGACAATTGATTGAGAACAAAAACATTCACTAGCATTGATTCAATGTCATTATTGTCATAGTCGGGTAGGAAATGAGAAGTCTTCGTGAGTGAATGAATGAAACGCAAATCGTCTGGAAACCTAGCTGGAAACGGTCGAAACAATGCCTTCGCATTAAAATGACATTAATCAGTGACAAGTTTGCAATGCTTGATGTGAATTATTTGTCGTAAAATAAAAGTTCGAAAAATTAAATGGAAAAAATTAAGTTTTTTTTTTTTTGGTAAAATGCAACATTTTTCGGAAACTATTCGCTAATGGCGGAAAGAAAGGATTACATATAATGCAGAAGTGTCCAAGGATTACAAATAATTAAATCATAAGCTGAAACCCTGCAATTTAAATCATCTCGAAACAACTCACACCATCCATTCTCATTATCATCTGAAAATTGCCGGATTCGGCACAAAAATAAACTATACTTAATTTAATACTTTATGTTCACCGACCATAGCCTTATTGAGATTATTTTTCGTTTAAATACATCAACGTCCCCAGTGAGGCATGTCATAAATTAGACCGGTTTCTTTGACCAAGTTGTATGTTTATGTGCGACGTTTTTTTTCTTGTATTTTTGCCAGATTTTTCTTCCGTCAAATTTATTTAAGCGAATAAATTGTGTGAATAATAGAAAAGGATGCTCAAAGTGAGCGGCGGATAAATGATGGCCTATGTAGAGAGAGAGAGAGAGAGAGAGAGAGAGAGAGAGAGAGTGTTGGTAGTGACCGCATTCTTGAAATTTGTTTTCTTTGGCCACTTTCCATTTCTTCACTTGATAAATAAAACTATACGTCTGCTACATTGTGCTAGTGTCATTTTGCCCATTTTCTGTTATGGTCCATCAATCAAAATGAATAATGAGCGTACGTATTCTTGTAACGCTTGAAGGATGGATAATAAGTGTTTTTGGTTGGTTTTAACGCGCTTATAAATGAAACCATTCCAGAGGAATAAACTCAAATACTGAACAATGGTGATATATATATATATAATATCTCACTCGATATTGCAATTCGATTTAAACCCAGGCAATCATCATTTTTAGCAGACGTTATGTACTTCTTTCGCTTCAGCCAAAATTTTGACATTCAATATCCATAAACAACCATCGATTAAAATCGATTTTCTATTGTGCTGGGAAATAAAGTATTGAAGCTTGCAATGTGATAGCGCGTGCAAAGAAGTGTAATATGAATTACGTAATGTTCGTCGTTACGATTCACTAAAATAAAAGCGAAAAAAAAAATTGTCTGAATTTTTGTAAAAGGTCACCATGAAATCATTTTATTTATATATCAAATAATTTTTTGCCAATGTTCGCTTGAATATTTACACTCTTATTTCTCTAATACCGACCTAGAGCGATAGATTTTGGTTGCCATCAGAAAGAAAATAGTATATTTTTATATATAATTAAGAAGGATAATTTTAAAAGCATAAATCATAAGTTTGCATCTTGTATTTCCGGTTATATAACATATGTCGCAGTTTAAATTTACGCTTATCTTCGAAGTATGTCATATAAATATATCGAATGCGTGATTTGGATGAGATTCATGAGCGATGATTAAATGGAATGAGTTTAAGAATTATGAATAACTTCATACTTAAATTGTGTCAAAGAAAGTCTCAAAGTTGGAAATTGGAAGCAGGAAATTCGCGTTTTGTAATATTTTTTATGTGCCTTATAAAATGATTAAGTGTAACATTGAATATATTTTACCGTGTTGAGCATTCAAGGCGAGAGAAACGAGATGTGAGAGCTCACATAAATGTGCTCTCAAGAAAATGGGAAACTATTCGTGTCACTTGACATAAGATCGCTTTTTCTCTTCATATCATTTCCTCGAAACTGGATGAAATTTCTAGATTTCAGCTTAAAAAAGGGGAGAAAACCAAGGCAAAAAAAATCATTTGTATATGTTGTTGCCGTAGGAAGTTTTCAGTTTCAATTTGTGACATGATACGAACAAACATAGATATTTGCTGCTGATGCTACTTTTACCGCTGATGTTGTTGTTGTTCTGTTCTGCATTAACTGTCCTGTATGCTAAAGTCAAAGCTATTTCAACGTTAACAAATAAATGCCTGTGCAAATGAAACAAAACGCAAAACCGAGCAAATATTTTCCTTTTGCTGTATGCATTCTGTTATTTCAACCGTATGAGTTTAACCATCGTTTTATGTGGTTTTTCTCTTACATCTACAAAAGTGGAACGGTAAAGATTTTTTTCGTCTGCTCGCCAACAAAATGGCAACCATAAAATACTTCCTGATTAATGCAAACAAAACTTATTGCTCACCTGTCGTTTTTCAACCAAAACTCAACACACACACATATACACACCATGTGCCCTATTAAGGTATACCGCTATAAAAATAGCATCACACAAGCTCATAATTGCAATGTGAATATTTAATTGCATTCAAATTAAGAC